TTGCTTAACAAATCTTGAAATGAAGGCTCTTTTAAATAAGATATTGGAACGACAAATCGCTTCTTCTCAAGCTCTCCAATGTAAACTGCTAAGAAACCTTTTGGTATATCTGAACTTCTTGAAGCTGCTTTATTTGGAGAAAACACAGACCGGCGAAGAATTTGCTTAGAGAGATTACCCGCCAAACGGAGAGCCATAGTCTTCTTCTTGTTGATATAAACAAGTAATAGTTTTGGTTGCTTGAGGAAATTGTATCAGTAGAGAATAGGAAGGCTTGAGTTATTTGTGAGTCGTGACTAAAGCAAGAAAGTATCACTATATATAGATGGAAGAACTTAATGAAAATCCTCAAGAATATGGAATTTAGTGGCTAAGAATCATTGGATATGTGCAACCTGCACTAAACAGACCCATGAGGAATCACATTCTCCTGTCTTCCAGTTGATCAACAGGTTAGTCAGGAAATGCCCCACAAATATGAAGCTAATCCAATAAAAGACCAAATATAGAGATTTAATGAGTGTGGGAAATCCTGCCAAATATGAGTCTGTGGATGAAACCATTTGCTTGGAATACATATCATAAAGGCATCTCACATGGTTTTGTCATGGAATAGTCCATCTAGGGGCCTCTAACATTTCAGGGGCTAAAGTGCAAGATATTTAAACAATATCAAGGACTAAACTGCAATCTAATTTAAAATGTAAATTGGAAGATCCTTCCAAATCTGAATTACAATATAGCAATTCTAGGCAGGTTTTTGATGGAGACCGATGGTAGGACATGATTCACATGATCTTCATTGTGGCTTAGTTTTCCTTTGTCCCAAAATGTCTGTGACCAAAAGGGTCAGTCAAGTTTTGGCATGAAGATTTCCAATCTTTAGATCATCTTTTATTGGCTTATCTTTGCACTTGTAGTTGTAGGGCATCTCCTGACTAACCTTGTTTCTGAACATGAAGACAGAAGCTTGTGGTATCATGAATCTGTTTTGAGCGGACTAAACATAGCCAATGTTAGTTGCCCACTAAAATCCAAATTTTATAGTGTTTTCAATAATTTACTTCATCTATATATATCGACTTTGGCTAAAACCATATCAAGTGTTCACATTCTCTTTTCATACATTTTCCTTAAGCAACAAAAATTAGGAAGTTCATTTTCTTGATTCTTTTCTGATACTATATACCAGCAAGAAGAAGAATATGGCTATTCGATTGGCTGGTAACCTTTCTACGAAAATTCTTCGTGGGTCTATTTTTGCTGCAAATAAAGCAACTTCAAGATGTTCTGATGTACGAAAAGGTTTCTTAGCGGTTTATATTGGAAAAATTGAGAAGAAGCGATTTGTAATCCCAATATCTTATCTAAAAGAGCCTTTGTTTCAAGATTTATTGAGCAAAGCTGAAGATGAGTTTGGCTTTGATTATCCCACGGTGGTTTAACAATTCCTTGCAGAGAAGATACTTTCCTTCATGTCACGTCCAACTTGAAGAGAGCTTAACAAGAGTAGGCAGAGGCAATTAAACTATCACAAAACAATTTTGTAAGGCATAAATTGCCAACTGAGTGTAAATATATATTACAGAAGAAAAACAATTCTGATAAATGAGGAAAACCATTCTATGGAAATTTTTGTACATACTTTTACACAATCCATTAGCTATTTACTTTATTGTTATTACAATTGCTGGGCAGATTCTTCTCCAAAAGGTTATTAAGCAGTTTGCGTCGGAGAAAACTTAAACAAACAAGCAAAAAAGAACAAAGATTTCTTATGCCTATATTTCTATTGCTTCCCATTTCATTTTCTTCTCTTTCCATTCAATTCTGAATAATTTTTGTGATCCCCTTTTGTTTTGCCGAACAGTTCGAAGAAACTATATCTGGAAATATGGTTTAGAAAGAGAGGGATGAATCTGAAATCTGATGTGTATTTCCATCATACAAGACATGGAATGTAATTATATTGAATAGGTTAGCAATACAGTAGAGGAAAACTGGTAGTACTGGAGTGTCTCCAAAGCTGTAAGGTAGTTTAAATCCTTTTGTATCAAATTAACAAAAAGTACATATATATTCCAAAGTGAGAGGTGCAAATGTTCCAAGCAGTCTAGGCAAATGGTTTCCGCCATCAAATACCGTAGATTTGACAGGATTTCTACTTATCTTTTCCTCTAATATATACCCATTAGGCAACTACCGTTAAGGGCCAAAGAACAGTGTCCTACTGGCTCACTTTTATCCTATAGCATCAAGCTTTATTTATCAGCTGTGCATGACTTACTTTGCTAATATAAATAGCAGAAATCATAAGACAAGCCACGAAAATTTATCAATGGCTGCACTGTAGAAAATGACAACTAAAATTAATGGAAACTCTGCATCCAAAAATGTCCTTAATACAAACCATGGAGAAATAGGATTCAATTATGAGTTCCAAAACCATAAGTAGATTCCTTATATGCACTTTTATATAAATTTTAATCTAATATATTATCATTTAACTTAATTTCCAAGAATGCACTTCAAAAGACAAATGAACTTAAAAAGAAAAATTATAAGAAATTTATACTGCAAAGAGATGCATGTTGTTGAATTATCTAATAGAATTGTCTTTGATTCTGCAGTAAAGAGAAAATATTTACATTGAACAGGCAATTTCTGCCTTAAAAAATTGTTTTCTATGATGAGTTAATTGACTCTGTCTACTCTTAAGATCTGGTCTTCAAGTTGGAAGTGACATGAAGGAAAGCTTCCTCTCTGCAAGGGATTGTCAAACCGCCCATGGGATGATCAAACCCAAACTCCTCTTCAGCTTTGTTTAACAAATCTTGAAATGAAGGTTCTTTTAGATAAGATATTGGGACGACAAATCGCTTCTTCTCAAGCTCTCCAATGTAAACTGCTAAGAAACCTTTTGGTACATCTGAACATCTTGAAGCTGCCTTATTTGGAACAAATACAGACCGGCGAAGAATTTGCTTAGAAAGATTACCCAACAAAGTAGTAGCCATAGTAGTCTTCTTATTGATAAATAATTTCGTAAAACAGGTATTAGATTTTGGTTGCTTGAGTACAATGTATCAGCAGAGAATATGAAGGCTTAAGTTATTGGTAAGTTGTGACCAAAGCAAGTTAGATACATGAATATAAATAGAAACATTGACATGTGCAATCTGCACAAAACAGACTCATGAGGAATCACATTCTCTTGTCTTCCAGTTGATCAACAAGTTAGTCAGGAAATGCCCCACAAATATGAAGCCAGTCCAATAAAAGACCACCTATATATAGATTTGAAATCAACTAGATATACAACTAAAGCCAAGCCCCACAAGTATCATGGACATGCTTAAGACAATGGGATACAAGTGGCCTAATAGGAATTTGTAAGTGTGGGAAATCCCGCCAAATATGAGTTTGTGGATGAAACAATTGCTTGGAATACATATCAAAGGCATCTCACATGGTTTTGTCTTGGAACAGTCTATCTAGTGGCCTCTAAAGTGTTCAAAATTTAATATTCAGGGGCTAAAGTGCAATATATTTAAACAGTATTAAGGAGTAAACTGCAATCTAATTCAAAACATAGTCAGTAAATAAAGTGCAGTTGGAAAATCCTTCCAAATCCGTGTTACAATATGGCAATTTTAGGCAGGTTTTGATGGAGACTGGTGGTAGGACATGATTCACATGATCTTCATTGTGGCTTAGTTTTCCATTGTCCCAAAATGTCTGTGACCAAAAGGGTCACTCAGTTTTGGCATGAAGATTTCCAATCTTTCGGTCACCTTTTATTGGCTTACCTTTGTACGTACTTGTAGGCCATGTCCTGACTAACCTTGTTTCTGAACAGGAATACAGAAGCATGTGCTACCTCGTGAGTCTGTTTTGAGCAGAGTAAGCATGGTCAATGATTCTTGGCCACTGAATCCCTATTTTAGAGTGTCTAGTTATTTCATCTATATATTGACTTCACATACTTTGGCTAAAACCATCTCCAGTATTCACATTCTCTTTTGATACATTTTCCTTAAGCAACAGAAATCAGAAATTTCATTTTCTTGATACTTTTTTGTTATTGTATATCAGCAAGAAGAAGAATATGGCTATTCATTTGGTTGGTAATCTTTCTAAGCAAATTCTTCGCGGGTCTATTTTTTCTCCAAATAAAGCAGCTTCAAGATGTTCAGATGTACCAAAAGGTTTCTTAGCAGTTTATATTGGGGAAATTGAGAAGAAGCGATTTGTAGTTCCAATATCTTATCTAAAAGAGCCTTTGTTTCAAGATTTGTTGAGCAAAGCTGAAGATGAGTTTGGCTTTGATCATCCCATGGGCGGTTTAACAATTCCTTGCAGAGAAGATACTTTCCTTCATGTCACTTCCAACTTGAAGAGAGCTTAATAAGAGTAGGCAGAGGCAATTAACCTATCACATAAAACAATTTTGTATGGCATAAATTGCCAATTCAGAGTAAATATATATTACAGAAGAAAAAGAATTCTGCTAAATGAGGAACCCCATTTTATGGAAATTCTTTTCACACAATCCGTTAGCTGTTTACTTTCCTGCTATTACAAATTCTAGGCAGATAATTTGACAAACAATTTTCATAGATGTTCCAGAAGGTTATTAAGCAGTTTATGTTGGAGAAAACATAAACAAACCAAAACTAAAAAAATAAAAAAGATTTCTTTTTCCTATGTCCTACTTGGATCAGCTTACATTTCTATTTCTGTCTATTTCATTTTCTTCTCTTTCCATTCAATTCTGAGTAATATTTTTGTTCAAATCCCTTTGTTTTGTTGAACAATTTCAAGAAACTTTATCTGAGAAATATGGTTTAGAAAGACATGGCATGTAACAATGCAGTAGAGGAAAACTGGTAGAGTAGTACTGTAGTGTCTCCAAAGCTGTGAGGCATCTGAGTTCAAGTCTTAGTCAGAGCTATATACATATATATATATATGTGTGTGTGTGTGTGTGTGTATATATTCCAAAGTGAGAGAGCTGCATATGTTCCAATTAGCAGACCTAGGCAAAGGGTTTCAGCCACCAAATAACATAGATCTGGCAGGATCTCCCAACTTATGGTTTCCTCTAATGTATCTGTTAAGGAACAAAAAACAGTGTCCTATTGTCTCGCCTATATATATTTGCTTTTCAATCTTTATGGTGCTATTATCCTATAGCATCAAGCTTTATCTATAAGCTGCGCATGACTTACTTTCCCAATGTAAACTTTGCATTCAAAAATTTCCTTAATACAAACAATGGAGAAATGGGATTCAATTATGAGTTCCAGAACCATAAGTATCTTCCTTATGTACATATTTATATAACTTGATTGTCAAGAATGAACTTCAAAAGAAAAATGAACTTAAAACGAAAATATAATAAGAAATTTATACTGTCAACAGATTTTGTTGAATTATCTACTAGAATTGTCTTTGATTTTGTAGTAAAGAGAAAATATTTACACTGAACAGGCAATTCCTGCCTTATAAAACTGTTTTCTATGATGAGTTAATTATATCGACTCTTCCTACTCCAAAGATCTGCTCTTCAAGTTGGAAGTGACATGAAGGAAAGCTTCCTCTCTGCAAGGAATTGTCAAACCACCCATTGGATGATTAAAGCCAAACTCTTCTTCAGCTTTGCTTAACAAATCTTGAAATGAAGGCTCTTTTAGATAAGATATTGGAACGACAAATTGCTTCTTCTCAAGCTCTCCAATGTAAACTGCTAAGAAACCTTTTGGTACATCTGAACTTCTTGGAGCTGCTTTATTTGGAGCAAACACAGACCCGCGAAGAATTTGCTTAGAGAGATTACCTGCCAAACGAATAGCCATAATCTTCTTCTTGTTGCTGTATAATTTTTGTAAAACAAGTACTAGATTTTGGTTGCTTGAGGAAAATGTATCAGTAGAGAATAGGAAGGCTTGAGTTATCGGTGAGTTGTGACAAAAGCAAGAGACCTATATATAACTTGTCACAACCCACCCATGGATGACATTCAAAGGCCAAACTCTTCTTCAGCTTCTTGCCTCTAACAAATCTTGCCACAACATGAAGGCTCTTTTACAGATGAAGATAGTGCGAACCGACATAATATGCTTCCTTAAGCTCCTTCCAATGTAAACTGCTAAGAACCTTTTGGTACATCCCTGAACTTTCTTGTAGCTGCTCTTACTTGCGAGAGCAAACACAGCACCCGCGCAAGAATTATGCTTAGAGACGCATTACCTGAGCCAACGGAATCAGCCATAAATCTTCTTCTTCTGTCTGCCCTGTATAATTTTTTTGTAAAACAAAGTACCTAGATTTCTGGTTTGGCTTCGAGCGAAAATTATCCAGTTAGCAGAATAGGCACAGGCTTGAGTCTATCGGTGCAGTTCTGCTGACAAAAGCAAGAGACCCTATATCATATATCATAATATATATATATATATATATCATTGCTGCACTCTCCTGTGCCTGTGTGTGTGTGTGCATGCTGCTGTGAACAAACTTGTGTGACACCACTGCAATGTCGAAAAAACTTACATGAAAATCCTCAAGCAACTTTGAAATTAGCTGGCAACCGAACATCTGGATATACTCTGCAATCCTGCCACCTACCGACCAGACCAATTGCAGCGGAATCACATTCTCCTGTCTTCCCTGTTGATCAACAACGTTAGTCAGGGACAAATGCCCCCACAAGTTACGTGTGTGTGTGTGTGTGTGTGTGTGTCGAAAAATTTAATGAAAATCCTCAAGAATTTGAAATTTAGTGGCTAAGAATCATTGGATATATGCAATCTGCACTAGACAGACCAATGAGGAATCACATTCTCCTGTCTTCCTGTTGATCAACAAGTTAGTCAGGAAATGCCCCACAAGTTACAAAGATAAACCAATAGAACACCACCTTAAGATTTGAAATCAACTAGATATATGTAAAGCCAGGTGGCTCTTTGATCATAGACATGCTAGAGACAAATATGATTTTGTGGACGAAACCATTTGCTTGGGACACATACCATATAGGCATCACATGATTTTGTCTTGGAATAGTCCATCTATTGCTTCTGTTGAACAATAACATGATCAACAACTACAATTGCCATTTTCTATAAATTATTAACAAGATCTACACTTTGGTCTGTACTATTTACAAATCCGCAACTTCAGTTCTGTATTATTACAACCATAAAATACAAGTTTTAATTAATATAAACATTTACAATTTTAATAATTTACCGCCTAAATTATAATTGATTAATGTACATGTAAAACATTGTCACTAAATGAATCCTAGTGAAAATTCACAATTTTACAATCAACAGCAACTGTTCTATTTGCAGTTCTTAATGTTTACATATATAGTTCTTTTAAGAGTATCAAGAATAAGATATTGAATGAATTTTTCTTTCAAGAAACCTACACTGGCTACATAATTGAGTTAATTTCGTAGTATTATTATATTTGGATCTGATCAGAAAAGGCATTAATTGATTTATACATAAAAGTTTGAAGTTACTTTTCACACAGGATTTCCACCAAATGGCTTTCAAGAAAAACTGTTTTCATATATGAAATGTTCATGGTTCTGTTAATAATGAGTGTCAACAGAAAATGAAAAAAGAAAATCTACAAAGAATTTCCATATATGAATTTTCTAATTTTGAAGATTCTTTTTCTTTTTTCTTGTTGATTGTGTAACAAAAAGAAAATATTTACACTCAATTGGCAATTTCTGTCTTATAAAATTGTTTTATGTAATAGGTTAACTGCCTCTGCCTACTCTTGTTAAGCTCTTCTCAAGTTGGAAGTGACATGAAGGAAAATATCTTCTCTGCAAGGAATTGTCAAACCACCCATTGGATGATCGAAGCCAAACTCATCTTCAGCTTTTCTTAACAAATCTTGAAATAAAGGCTCTTTTAGGTAAGATATTGGAACTACAGATCTCTTCTTCTCAGCCTCTCCAATGTAAACTGCTAAGAAACCTTTTGGTATATCTGAACTTCTCAAAGCTGCTTTATTTGGAGTAAATACAGATCGGCCAAGAATTTGCTTAGAAAGATTACCCGCCAAACGAATAGCCATAGTCTTCTTCTTGTTGATATAACACTTTTGGTTGCTTGAGGAAAATGTATGAGACTTGAGTTTTCTGTGAGTTGTGACCAAAGCAATTGAAGCATATATATACAAAGCAATTGACAGCATATATACTACTATATATATATATATCGATATATACTCATATATCATTATATACGATGGAGCAATTTACTGGAAGTCCTTTAGATTATGTAATTAGTGGTCAACAGAATCACTGGCACCATCGCTCCAAAACCCACAACATGTCGCTCATGTCTACCAGTCTAATTCAACAAACGCGTTATCAGGTATATAGATGGAGCAATTTATTGGAAGTCCTTTAGATTATGTAATTAGTGGTCAAGAATCACTGGCAATGCTCCAAACACACATGCTCATGTCTACCAGTTTAATTAACAAAGGTTAGTCAGGATAGGCCCTACAGTAGAGAGAAAAACCAATTGAAGATTGGAAATCTGCTTGATACAAGTGATCCTCTGATCACAAACATGTTTGAGATAATGGGTCCTTAATGGCCTAATATATATATAGATGAAATTGTTAGTTGGGCTCTCCTGGCAAGTATCAATTACTAGCTCAAACCATTTGCTGGGGTCTCCTTGTGGGTGCAACTCATAAGGACATCACATGGTTTTGTCGACTAATTTACTCAGATAGAAAGGGTTCTGGTCTCAGATATTGGAAAATAACATTCCTCATTTCACTCCAATTACTTGTATAGTACATGGTTTACTGTGATGATAATTACATCACAGTTTGAATATGCAAATTGTCTACTTTGTCTTAACTTCAGGATTTCTCCTGACAAGTCTTTTCTTTTCTCAAGGAAACATGATTATCAGACAGCAATAGCAAAATGGAAAATACTATTGCTTTATACAAAATCCTAATGGAAGTCTCAGGGAAGAATATTTATGTGTATCAACTCTTAACGAGTTAGTGCTGCATTGGCCGTTTGTTTGACCCAATTTCTTTGGGAAATTTCCATTGCATTAGTCTCGCAGAAGAGATATGATTTGGCTTTTTTTTTTTCTTTATTATTTCCAAGTATTAAATACAAAATCCTTTTACCAAGTAGAGTGATCTAGTTGGTTTTCTCGTTGATACGAGGGGTGAGACACAACAATTTTCACCGGTTAGCTAAGTCAAGGGAAAGGCTGTTGGCTTCAGTTTCAAAGAAAGTGAAATCAAAAGTGAACCATTTTTAGACGGTTTTCAAATTATAAGTTTCGGTTTGAAACTGAAATTAAGAGTTAAAAGAGTTACAATATAACTTTTTATTATTCCAAAAAATATCATTTAAACTGCTTTTTTTTTAACGTTATAAAGGATGAAAATGTCTTTTTATTTTATTTGAGAGTTTAAAAAACAATAAATAAATGTTGTATAATTTGTATGTAAAAAATTTAAAACTGTATATTATAAAGTGTAAAAGATTTAAATTAAAATACTTGAATAAGGAGCAATTTTTTTATTTTTTCCTCTTTTCCATTTACACTTTATAAGTTCTATTTATATTAACAAATTTTAAGATGATGGTAGAATTACTGAATTTAATGGTGAAAACTAAAATTAATTTTAACGATTAAAAATTATTTGATTTTTTTTTCTTTTTTTAATGAAGTCGGGTTTAATTTTCAAATATAAAGAATCGCAATTGAATTTTAAATACATGGTTTCGATTACGGTTTGAAACTTTAAACAGTGACCACAATTTGATTCTAATTTTGACTAATTCGGTTTGGTTCAAACTGCGGTGATGCCTAATTGAGCCTTTTAATAAATAAAAAATATATATATATATATAAAATCATAAGTGAGTTTTCACCAAATTCGGTGATGAGAAGATGGAAGGACAACCTTTCTGTGGTCCACAATTGGGTTGCCAAATGAATAAAAAAAAAAAAAAAAAAAAAAAATACTAATAAACTATTCTACTTTGAAAAAGGATTAACTATCCTAATCCCTCCACTTTTGAAAATACAGGGAAAACCCGTCCTCAGTTTTCGGCAAGAAAATTTGCGTTGAAAGGACTTTCTGTATAAACAACACAAGATCCAAGATTTGGCAAAATGGACACGTCAAAGAGTCTTGATTCCACGCGACAATGGGAATCCCTTGGAAGGCTTGGATTCCAAGGTGGCCGGACATTATATCCTATAATATTAGATTTTCTTAGAGCTTAACTTTCAGACCTTGAGTTTTAAAAAACCCTAAACTAAAATTCTATCTGTTAAAAACTTTCCTCTCCTGCCCATTAACCACAAAGTTCCACTAATTACCTTCCAAAACCATCAAAATGCAAGTCCGTCCGCCTCTTCAACCCTTAGCAGCCAGCAGAAGCAGAGTTGGTTCAAGCCATGGAGTTTCTGATTAAATTCCAGTGAACAAAAATATGCTTGAAGTCAATCTCATATGTTTTGCCGCAAATTCTGCCCCTACGCAAAAAGAAGTTATGTTGGTTGCTTATATCGATCCTCTACCATAAAGTTACTTCAGAGGTTGATTCTACTGCAAACTTTACATGGAACGGACAAGTTTGGTAATGTCCATATGACAATTCTTTGAATTTCCAACAGACCAAATGCCCTGCTTGATTTTTGAAAAATCTACTCAAGCAAGGTCCGGAAAATTAAAAGAAAGACAGAGGATTGGCGTGCACATGTTCTTGTGCAAAATCTGATAACCGGTGAATACTAGTGGAAGAAAGTGGCATAGGCATTAACATTCTTCAATACTGAATCTGACACAGGACAACACGGTGCTAAGCGTTTAAGGGTGGATGATGAAGATTGCCTGATGAACAAGTCTCTGAGTAATCCATTCTGAACGTTGGTGTGGTTCGGTTGGATGGTATTTTTATAAAGCCTTTGAGTTCTATAGGAACCAAAAATTTTTTCTGGATTATAGACAATTAATGGGTTGGGTGCCTAATTAGTGTTCTTTGTTATTTCTGTGTTTTTCAGTAATGAAAAGAAGCAAGTTGTTGAATTTTAACCTGTAAATCTTTAATGAAATTAATTAGTTCTATATATGTACTTTTTTATTTCTTCCCATTGGCAAAACAAAGATTTGATTGAATTGGTTTTGATTTTGAATTGGGTCAAAATGTCTAGTCTCAATCATGAAGTCTTTGAGATGTTATTGTTGCTATTATTCCTTTTCAGTCTATTACAGTAAACGATAGTTTCTATTTTCAGTAAAATCTTTATAATTTATTTCAGTAAATGATAGTTTTTCTTCTGCAGAATTTCTATTTACTTGAATAGGGGCCCTTTATAATTTCCTTTACCAGAGTACCCACCAAATGAATAGCCATAATTCTTTTTGATAAGATAAACTCAGAATAGAAATAAAGAAAGATAAATATTTAATATTTTGGTCGCTTCAGTGGCCAAATAACACATTGTCTATGCCTAGGAATTATATTATGAATCTAATCAAAAACAGACTCATTAAGTAACCAATGCTTCTGTCTTCCTGTTAATAAACAAAGGAGGACCACTCAAGAATATGCCCTACAGTAATATCAGATAAACCAAATGAAGAAAGAACAACCTAAAGATTGGAAATCTTGTTGATAAAAGATGCCACTAAGTGTCCCTTTGATCAAATAGGGTCCTCACCAAAGAATGGTGAATGCTTGAGTTGTTTTGTGACCAAGTAATTAGGTTATGCTCCTGCAAAAATCTTATTGCGCTTGAGGGTGTCGCATGGTTTGGTTTTCTAACAAATCAACTAGGGCCCTCCCCCCCCAGGTTCAAAATCAATATGGTAAACAGTCTTTTATACGCTTTTGGTTTATCTCCCCATGTACCCTGTGGGGTATATCTTACTGCACCTTGGTTTCTGAATGGCCCAGGACAGCAACCACGTGAATTGTCAATATACCTCATCTGCTTCAATTCAGGTCAATTCTTGGCCTCATAACTCCAGATTTTCAATAATTGTTCCATCTATATCGTACATATATTTCCATGCTGTCGGTCAACAACTCAGCAAACACCTCAAACTTTGCATTCTCCCCTGGCTTGACCATTTTCCTCAGGCAACCGAAAAATTCTAATATTTCTTTTTCCCTAATATCAATTATATCAACAACAAGAAAAGACCATGGCTATGCGTTTTGCGGCGTACTCTTTTCCCTTAGCAAATTCTTTGGCCAGTCTGCGTTTGCTGCAAAGAAAAGCTGCCTTCAAGATGCTCAGATGTAACCAAAAAAGGTGTTTCTTAGCAAGGTCCACATCGGGAGAGCTTTGAGAAGAGCGATTTGTAGTCCCAATATCTTTATCTAAAAGAGCCTTGTTTCAAGATTTGTTCAGCAAAGCTGAAGAGGAGTTTGGCCTATGATCATCCCATGGGTGGTTTGAAAATTCCTTGCAGAGAAGATAATTTTCCTTCATATCACTTCCAACCTGAAAAGAGCTTAGGGAGGAGTAGCCAGCAAGGCAAACTAAACCTATCACAATAAAATCCAAAAATTGTCATTGAGTGTAAATAATTTCTCTTTAAATTAACAGAATGAAAGACAATTCATACTAGACTCATTCAACAATATTCTCTTTACAATATAATTTCTTTCCTAATTTTTTTCGTTTTAAAAGTTCATTTTTTCTTTTGGAGTACTTGGACATTCAAATTAAATGATAACAAATAAAATTTATACAAAAATGGTATTTAAGGAAGATATTTATGGTTTTGGAACTCGTAATTGAAATCCTATTTCGCCATTGTTTGTGTTGAAGGAAAAATAAAGCTTGATGTTATAGGATAAAATTAAAGCACTACTCTGCCAGTTTTCCTCTACTCATTGTATGTTAATCTCTTGAATATAATAACATGGCCAAATTGTCTAAATATAATGGAATACACACCAGTTTTTTAGATTCAATTCCCACTCTCTCTAAACCACATTTCTCAGATATAGTTTCTTGAAACTGTTAAGGCGCAAAATACAAAAGGGATTTGATCCAAAATGTTATTCAGAATGAATGGAAAGAGAAGAAAAATGAAATGGGAAAGCAATAAGAAAATGTGGGCTTATCAAAAGGATATTGGAACAAGA